CCCCCCCCAGGCCCCCCCCCCCCCCCAACCAGGAAGTTTGAGGAACGCTGCATATTTTCCTGGACTTGGCAGGGATGACAAGCAACCACAGGTAAGTGTTTAGGGACAGGGGAACATGGGAAGGTGCTGGGCATTTGTTACCTAATGCAGATAATCCATTAAGGTTAAAATTCCTAGCCCTTAGTATTAGACTTATTCACACTATAGCATTGTGAAGTGTTAACGCGTGTTAGCATGTGTTGTGAAGAAAGAGATTAGTTGCACTCAACGGTGAAACCCGTAGTCAGGGAGGGGTGCTTGGAATGACTGCAGTTGGCGCCGCCAATTGTAGATAATTGCAGAAACGTCACCAGCACACCGAAATCCTTGTAGGATCATAAATCGTGGATTTATTGCGAACTCATGTCAATTACTCAAGCACTTTTGGGGCCAGGCAGGGTTCCTTCATCAGGCATAGCAATGAGTTATGTTACGGTGGCCCATTTTTCTCTTCCGTTCATTGAATGACACAGGGAACAGATCTAGGATCATGTACTGTAGGGTAATATCGCCACCTGCAGGAGAAGGACGCTAGATTTGCGGCCTTCTCGGCGGCCGCCATCTTGTTGAGGGCTGCACTGCCCTTTCAGCTGTGCCCTTCCGCCGCTGTCACTTGCGGCCAGCTTCCTTCGTTTTTGCTTGGGGGACGAACCTTACCAGTTTTGTCGCTCTGCCTTTTCAGTCTGACGACGGCGCCTTGGTTTTTCACCAGGGTGTTGGCCTTGATTCTGGCGTTGTCGGGGATCTCGATTTGTGGGGTATCTGGATGATCTCCTGTTGAAGGCGGAGTCGCATTCTTCTCTGGTAACGGACCTTGCGGTCATTGGTGGAGTTCGACTGGCTCCTGAACTTGCAAGAGTCTCTTGTCTGGCGACGTCCACTCATCTGGGCCTGGTTCTGGACTCCGTCCTTGCACAAGCTCTGCCCGCGGAGAACCTCCTTGAGCTTTGCTCACATGCAAGGTTGTTGCGGTCGCGCCGGTACTTGACGATCCGGTCTTGCATGCGGGTTCTGGTTCTCATGGGGGCCTCCCTCGAGGCGGTGCCTTTCAGGGGAGCATGTTCTGTCTCTCTCTGTCGTGTACATTCCGGGGTGGAGAATTGGCAGACCAACTATCTCAGTCGCCGGACGGTGGACCCGGGAGTGTTTCATCAACTCTACCTTCGGCAGGGGACTCCTGATGTGGGTCTCCTGGAATCTCGTCTCAAACGGCAAGTCGATCAGTCCAATGCCCGTACTCGGGATTCTTGGGCGGATGCAGTGCATGCCCTGGTGACTCCATGGGTCCATTGTGGTCTGCTTTCCACGTTCCCTCCGATGTACTGTTTACCGCGTCTTCTAAACAGGATTGCGGCAGAGGACATTCCCGTCATCCCCGTGGCTCCAGCTTGGCCACGAAGGGTGTGGTAATCGGAGGCGGTCTGGTTCGTAGCGGGCGTTCCCTGGCGGATGCCGATTCATCCGGATCTTCTTTCCCAGGTTTTGGTGTGCTGTCTGTCTTTACAGTCGCTGGCTTGATGGCCTGGTTTTGAAGGGATCCTTCGGTGGCTCAGTTGGTAGGGCGGAGGACTGTAGTGGAATTACTAAGCTGTGATCCTTTGGGACTGAGGTCGGTCGGATGCGGTTATCTCTACGATGCTGAGAGTTTGCGGGCTGGGTCTCGAAGGATCTATCACCCTACCTGATGGGCTTAGTTTGCCTGGGGTGAGTCGTGGGTTTTTCCGCCTCTTTTGTTCTCGGTGGCCAGGATTTTGGGCTTTTTTACACCGTGGTGTAGATCACGGCTGACCTAAAGTGCGGTGCAGTCCCAGATTTTCGGCCTGGACAGTTCTTTCCAGACGCCCATCGCGTCCTACGCTTTGGTTCGCACCTTCGTACGGGGTTACGCAGATTGCTCCTCCTGTCCGATCCCCGTTACCGCCTTGGGATCTGAACCTGGTTCTTTAGTTTTTCCGGGAATCTCCTTTTGGATCTTTGCGGGAATTTCCGCGTCTGCCCTTATCTCAAAGGGTTGCCTTTTTGGTTGCGCTCACCTCCGTTCGCAGGGTTTCGGGGTTAGCGACTCTGGCACTTCACCGTTGCTGGTCTTGCATCGGGACAAGGTGATCCTACGACCTCGACCGTCCTTCCTGCCTGAGGGGGTTTTTCGGTCTTCCATCTCAACGTGGATATTGTTTTTACCTTCCTGGTGTCCGAAGCCCGTCCGTAGGAAGGATAAATGTGGTTTGCACTCTCCGGGTTTAATTGGGTGCTATAGCTTCCTTCCGCGAGTCGGATTCCGTTATGTTGTTGCGGATGGTCCTCGGAGTGTCGGGTCGCTTCCTCGGCCGCCATCTCTCGCTGGATTCGCAACGTGTTTTCTCAGGCGTATGCTTTAAGGGGCGTTAGCCTTTTTCTGTTAAGGCCCATTCTACAAGGGCTGTTGAGGCATCTTGGGCTTTCCATCCTGGTGCCTCGGTTTCTCGAGTTTGTAAGGCCGCTACTTGGTCTTTTGTTCACACCTTTGCCAAGTTTTATAAGGTGGATGTTTTGGCATCGGCAGATGCTGGTTTGGGGCGCATGATATTACAGGCGGCCGTTTGAGGGGGTTGTTTTCTGTTGGGTTTATTTGGGTTTTTTTCTGCCCACCCCTCTTCAGCTACTGCTTTGTGACGTCCCTACAGTACATGATCCTAGATCTGTTCCCTGTGTCCTTCAATGAACGGAAGAGAAAATAGGATTTTTGTACTCACCGTAAAATCCTTTTCTCACCGTTCATTGAAGGACACAGGTCCCGCCCCTCTGTGTGGGTGTGTACTCCTAACTGCTTGTTACTTACTGGAGACTTGTCAGCAGGTGGGGGGTTTGGCCACCAGCAGGGGCCGCCCCTAGGCTGTAATTGGTCTTTAGTTTTGTGCCTAGCGTCCTTCTCCTGCAGGTGGCGATATTACCCTACAGTACATGATCCTAGATCTGTTCCCTGTGTCCTTCAATGAACGGAGAGAAAAGGATTTTACGGTGAGTACAAAAATCCTATTATTTTGAATTTGCTACCAATGCAACAGACTGGATCACATGACAAATAGCAGTGCATCGCATGTAGAGAAGGTGCGTTCATTTGCCTTGTGGGAATGCACACTTTTTTCCTTGCATTGCCACAATGTGTAAGTGTGGTTGGGCCCTGACCCTAATGTTAACTCTTGGTTTAAAGCAGGCTATTTCATGATATGCATTTGTAAAATGCTTATTGAAATGCTGAAAAATACCTCTCTACACTTTTTTAATTTAAAGTGACCCTAAATCAGGTAAATCTTAATGCATTTGTGTGCCTAACTATTAACAAAAATGTAGCTCATTTGTGTATCACTTGGCTGTAGATCCTCAAATCATCTGTGAATTGCTGCTGACACTGTAGTCCATCACGGGGACGAGCTTGGAGAAGGAAGGACAATCTCAATACAAATTGGTTAACTGAACATGAGATTGTAGTCCATCACAGGAGATTCCAGAAGGAAGGACAGTGTTGGCACCAATTCAGAGATAATCTGAGGATGTACAGTTGAGTGATACACAAATAAGATACATTTTGGTTAATATTTGAAGTACTTGAATGCATTTTTAAGATTTAACGCCTGAGTTTAATGTCACTTTAATAGCCATGTGACTACAGGGCTCACTTCTGATGCCTCTTCGGCTTTGTGAGGCACATGGTTAGATAGGAGGCATAGCAAAGCTGCTTTTGTGATGGAAGGGTCCTGCCTGGATCCACTTTTGAATCAAAGTGATGAGGACTGGACAGGGCATGTGAGCCTGTGGAACGTCTGTAACCTAGCCAAATTAAAATCATAATGAATTTTCATCTGAAGCTGCTGAAATAGCAGCTGTGTTACAAAAAGCATTTTCTTATGGCTACTAGAAGCCTGGATGCTTAAAATTCGAGCACTTCAGTGCTCAGTAACTCACACACTGCTATTTTTCACCTTTCATATGTTTGATTCATGCTGCGTCTGGGAGTAGAGTTTTTGCAGGTCAATATTTGGCATGTATTTTGGCCATTGGATTAACCTAGTCCTGCCATGCAAGTGTATTTACCATCTATGTCTGGCCTTAAATAGGTTTGTCACTTCTAATTCAGGAGCATAGCAGACCAGAAATTCTGTGACCTCCATTTTCAGTGGTATTGTTTGGTCACTGACAAGTTGGCTTTAACCTTTAATACTCTTTCTGCTTGCAGGCCAAGGAAAAGGAGGAGAGACTGTTAAGGCGACAAGTAAAACGAGAGAGATTGGAGGAAAAGCGCAAACAAAAAGCAGAAGAGAAAGCCAGGGCTTTAAAAATGAAGGCTCAAGGTAGTGTATTGTGGTCAAGGGGTTCAATAAACAAGCTAAACTATTAATTTGTACAAGCAGCTGGTTCTCCTTTGACCTAGTTTTTGTTTCATAAATAAGCCTCAATATATTTAAAACATGAATTGTTTTTTGTATTCCTTTTCCCTCAACTTTACTGCACAATTTAGGTACAAACTCTGTTCATAAATCTTCAAACGATCAGAAGTCAAAAACTACCAGTATGAAAGAGGTACTTAAAGAGCAAATGTTTTTAGAAAAGAAAGTTGCAATGAGTAAGAAGAGGAAGAAGGATAGTAGTGGGTATGTTTTGGTTTCACTCTTGTTTATTGATTTCATTCTTTTTTTAAAGTTAAATGAAATATAATGCACCCAGAGGGTTTATACTATGCATACAAGATTTATAGTACATTGGCACACATTTGGTTTCATTAGGCCTGTCTCTTTTTAAGATAAAACATAAAAAAAAAAAATTACCCTATAAATGGTTTTTTGATTACTATATTTATCTGTAATGTTTATAGCTTTTATATACCATATTTCAAAAATTGCTCTATATAATTATTTTATCAATTATTTCAAGAGATTATTTTCTCCTTTTTTAATGTCTAGTTCATGGAAGATAAAAACTGATGTATTTGATGAAGACTCAAGGGATACCCAAAAGTCCAATGAGGTAATTGATCCACGAGGGTGAATCATAGATTTATAACCTCTTTTATAATGTCATTCTACCTAACGCTGAACTCTATTTTTGATGTGGAGCATCAAGTGCATTTCAACCTGCAGCAGCAATAATGCACCACATATAAATGCCTGGATACAATACAATAATTGCTACTGTCATAACACAAACTAGTCAGGCATTCTGACACTAGACTCAGGGGTTAAATCTTAAAAATACATTGAAGTACCCTAACTATTAAAAAAAAAAAAAAAAAAGTATCTTATTACCTTCGAATTGGTGCTGACACTGTCATTCCTTCTGGAGGGTGGCTACTTTTGTTCCCCATGGTGCCTGCTGTGTTGTAAAGTAGCCACCACTAAGAAATCACTCCTGTGATGGACTACAATCTCAATAAAGAATTCGTAAACTAAACCCGAGATTTTAGTCCATCACGAGAGTGAGCTTGGAGCGGTGACTACTTTACAACACACACAGGGACCATGGGGAACAAAAGTACCCACCCTCCAGAAGGAAGGACAGTGTCCGCACGAATTCAGAGATGATTTGAGGATCTACAGCCGAGTAATACACAAATAAGCTACAAATTGTGTTATTAGTTAAGGTACTTGAATGCATTTTTTATATTTAATTCCAGAGTTTAGTGTCCCTTTTATTGTTTTAAATGTTTTGCAAACTACACTTTTTGTGTCCCTTCTCTGATCTGCTACCATTAAGAAGGTACCTTCAGTGAAAGCCGCATGTCAGTATGATCAGTGGTGGGATATAGGTAGCTGGGATAATATGCAAACTTTCACTTTTCCTATAACAGTTGAGCTTGGAGCCAACTCTTCACGCTCTTTTGGGTCAGTGATGCTATTCAAGGTGCAGCAAAAAGGCTTAAAGCAGACTTTTACCCTCTTCACAATAAATCACATTGGCATGCAGCTCTGAATGCTGATATGAAATCATCTTGCAATAATTAAACAGATTTTGCTTTTACTTACAATAACTGTTTTTTCCACTTCCTGGTCATCTTAGGCATTAGTGATGTAGAAAAAAAGGGACCAAACTTGAGTTTTACAGGAAACATCTGTTAATAACTGTTAAGGCAGTTTTTAACCCGTTTGCTCAGTTTGAATTGCCCGGGTTTGTGACTGACTGATTTAAGGCAATGGAATCATAAATTCTCTTTGGACAAAGGAATTGGCTGTTGAACAGGGCTTATCCTGTAGGTCAGTCTAGTAACCAAATGTAACTAATTTAGAATGGACATAGAGGAGAGTTTTGCAATTAATGAAGATGAGACATCTCGTGGTACCTGATCTTAGACAGGACGGTTTAGATTTAAAGGTTTAAAACTGATGTCCAGGTCTCCACATATCCAGTGGTCTTTCAAAATATCAATGTTTTTAAACATTAATAAATATTTTTTTTATATATATA